AAATGTCATCGTATTCACACGATGATAGTCTGAGGTAAATAACAGGAAAACAGCAAAGTGTCAATAAAAATAGCTCATTGTAATCTTTTGGAGAGAAAAAAATATGATTTGTCGATTTTGATCATTTTCCATTAGGTGTTCCTTATAAATGCAGATAACCCAAGAAGTTTATTTATACTAGATTTGGAAAACTAGATAGCATAGTGATCGATCTACATGTATTTCGGAGAGTATCAACAAACGCATTAATTTTATACAATTGTATCTAAATTAAATGATATAGACTTCTGACGTACTGGTTTCTAACCGAAACCGTCATTTCGATTGACTGGGGGGTGGGGGTAGTTAATTCGGTTTTGTTCGGGTTACATACTATTTACCACTATGGTTATTTAAGGGCATGTCCGGTTATGGTGGTGGAGGTAATATAAGCTGGAGTAAGGCCACCGACCTGCGGATAGTACTTGACAACTGCCTCACGTGGGGCTCGAACCCACGACCCAGGTGTGGAGGATAGACCATTCGGCCACAAAAATGTTGAATCAATCACAAGGAAAAATATTAAGGCTGCGCCTACGGCGTAAACATCCAGGTCCTAGTCGTTCAAAAGGTTATTAGCTTATTCTTTAACACTTTTGAACCTTTAATAATTCCGTCAATGTACTCTGATTACTAAAAAACTTGTTATTTCAAAAAAAACGCTTGCAATAGATCACTGTTTTTAATGCGAAGTTTTTTTTTGAAAGGTGAATTGAACTTTATTTTCTCTTGCATTTTACCGTACTCAATGTTACACAGGAGAATTACACTATAAAGTTGGCCAATTAGAAGATTTTCGTTATTCACAAAATGAATGAAGAAAATGTCTTGTACATAATGTTGATTTTGATAGACTTTGTTTTCTGCTATCAATAAATAAATAAACTTTATTTATTTTACAACAATTATGAAACAAGTTATTTCGTGTTACCGGTTTTCGCGCAACATAAAACTGTATTTTGAAAAAATCAGAACAAACAACTTTTAACAAATATCTCCCGTCGGAAGTAGCCGTCATATGTTTCCGTGTGTCTATTTTGATTAAGTACACTAAAAAGAAATTCTCTATAGTGACCTGTAAGAACAAAAGCTTCGTTTTGAATAACAAAAATATCTTTGATCGTCAAATTAATTATCGAAACAATTGTTTATAAATTTCACATTTTTAATTGATTTTTCAATATGTCAACAAACCGAAAAAAAAACCTCTGAATCCGCCACTGATATAGAATATATGTTATTTATTTTTTCTGCAGTCTTATATCGGTTTTGGTTGATGGCAAGTTATTTCTCATTTTGTTCTGTTTAAAATTGAAACCGTATTGGAACTATAATAATGTGAAATCTCTGCATTCTAATATGAGATATATGCGGTCTTTATGGATCGATGAAGGTCGTCCACGTGGTAAAGGCCATGAGATCTACACGCACTATATAAAACCGCGAAGAGATCATTTCGCAATGCGTAGGAGGACGTATATTGAAGCTGTTTAAAGGACGTGTTCCACGCTCCCGTATATACGTGCTGTATGTAACTGTGACAGCCTATCCGCATCTAAGGAGCTGACCGACCTTCGGGCGTGATCTGGAATGGGCTAGGTCATTTTGAATCACCGAGGGTCCGGTAAGCTGGAGACTTACCCCCTCAAGACGACAGAACACCGGCTTCGCCCGTGAAAAGGAGTCTATAAACCCATCAACCAACCAAACCAACCAACTTCGCAATGAATTAAACCTCGCTCGTGGACAGTACGAAAGGGAACAGATTGAACATCTTGAAAAAATGGCAGAACTCGACACAGGAACATTTTATAAAGCTGTACGTACGAAGAGGAATGTAAGTAAAAACTCTTCCTCGTATGAATTACTGGTTAAATGGAAAGATTACTCGTGATTCTGATATTTTGAGAGAAGCGTGGTATGAACATTTTCGTAATTTGTCAAGTCCTCTCAATGAACCACACTTTGACGATGAGTTCAAGAAACGCATTGAACGCATGGTCGACCGTATGTACGTTAATAGTTTTAACAATAATGATGGTATTTGTGACGACCCCATTACAGTTTTGGAAGTCAAACAGGCTATTAGAGATATGAATAGTGGAAAAGCCGGTGGACACGATGGGATAGTTCTAGAACATATATATAAGATATGCTAGCTGTAAAAAGGGAGTCATACCCTGAACATTTCAAATTTGGTATAGTAATTACTTTTTTTAAAGGTGGTAAGCGAGATTTCGGTTGTTAATGGATAATTACAGGGACATAACTCTTACACCGATACTGCAAAAGTTACTGGAAAAGGTTTTACTCTCTAGAATCTTAAGACAGTGTAATGTCATAGAGTTTCCCCATAAGCTCCAACAAGGTTTCAGGGAAGTATCACGGCGGCATTCACTGTAAAGGAATCTATTTCATATTATATAGAAAGAAAATCAAAAGTTCCCTGCCTTTCTTGATAATCAAAAAGCATTCAACAGTGTGTGGATAAACGGTCTTACGTACAAATTACACAATTTGGGTTTCAATGGCAAGTTTTGGAGACTATCATTTAATTCATTTACTATTTATAATGTGACGTCATCGGTGCTTTTTATGGTAAACGTAGTAATACGTACCCAATAGGTCAGGGAGTAGGTCAAGGTCGAGTGTTATCCGCATGGTGTTTTCTGGTAATGATCAATGATGTTGCTGTTGAGCTAGACAATCGGAATTTCGGGTTAAAAGTTAAAGATATACACATACCCTGTGTATTGTTAGCAGATGATACGTTACTTTTATCCTCGTCGCTTTCTCTTCTTCAAAAACAGTTGGACATTGAATATTATTACTCTGCTATGTGGCGCTTTAATTATAACTCTGTTAAAAGTTCTTTTATGATATTCGATCGCTCACGTCTGTAATCATGTAACCTAAAATCAGACAGTGGTATTGCCGAGTCCTGTGTGAAAGGAAGGAAAAGTTTAAACTCTTTTATTGGTATAGGCATTCACGCTAATGGACTTAATCCTGTAACTAGTTTTAATACAGTAAAATCTGTTGTTTATCCATGTATGCTATATACCAATAAATATGTTGAAGAACTAGAACTCACTCATAGATATGTCTGTAGCCGTTGTATTGGACTACCGACAACGTCATCGACTGTTGTAACTTCACAATGTTTAGGAGTTTTTAACATCTGGAGTGAGATAGAAATTAAAAAAAAAATGCTTCTTTAGACAAAGTTGTGTTTAGAAAGTGTAAAGTTTGTATGGAAGTCCTTGTTTATTATTAGATTATGTCAGTTCATGTTTGGCGAACTGTCCGCTGTACAAATAGGATTTATTCCAGATGTGTTCAGCATCATAAAAAAAGTTTAATATAGAGTCATTTTTAATTGACTTTTTAACCAACATATTTGTACCTCCAAAATTATGCTGGAAACGTTTTATTAAAAGTTTTATTACATATTTCAATCATATACAGTGGAGATATACACTATCTACAAAGCGCAGTTATCAGGGAATCAACCCAATATTAGAACTCGGTACCAAACAAAAATTGCATAAATGCATGTGGCAGTTATAATAGAGCTAATGAAATATTCATTTATATTTGAACGCGATATTGTATTATGTAAACTTTTTGGTTAATCTACTGCTAATATTGTTTTTCATTTTCTGCTTGAGTGTCCGAAATTGTTCAACACGCGTGACTTAAGTATGGATGGTGTGGTGAATGTTTTAGAAGTTCCCTCCTGTATTTCATTTACAAACCTTAAAGGATGAAAACTAATGCAGTTTCTTATTAGGAGATCGTGTGAATATACTACTAGAAGACTACGAGTGGGAAAATCTGATGATCAATATGTCAATTAACTTAGAAAGAACATGATGAGTGAGATGGACACATTACTGTAACTCTCTCCCATTTTCTTTTAATGCACGCTATCTTTATGTAATTTGAAATGTGAACATAATTATATGAATCTATTGATTGACTGTAATCTCTTGTAAAAGAAGAAATAAACAATGTATGTTTGTCTTCGGAAGTGGAAAAAACGGCGAGGAGATGTTGCCTCATTTGCATACAACATTTTCGTACGTTTGTCAGACTACAAAAAAGACTGGTTCATGAATGAAATATATCACCGTTTTTTCAGGTATGGGTTCATTTTGAGCAAGATGCATAACTGCATATTTATGTGTTGTTTTCCGGACGAACTTCCGGTAAAAAAATTGTCAGTTTACAGACAATGGTCAAACGTCTAAAATATCCTTGTGCAGTGTCCAGCAGGTCACGAAGTTACGACATATAGCTTGATAAAATGGCTGCGCGGAAATACATAACGCACGAAAACAGATATACGAAGCGACTTCCATACTTTATTCATTTTGAGGAAGGTATAATGAGCCGACTACAAAATATATACACTGACATGGCGCTGTAATAAATACCTTATAATTAAGGTCCAAAAGTAGTTGTAACAAATGCTGATCAGGTCCCTGTGAATTTAAATTTTAATAGACGAATTCTTGAACAAATCTTTTATACACAGCTGCAGGGGCCTGTTCGTTTATAAGGAACAACCGGTTTGATCGTTTCTAAATGTAACAATTTCGGTATATATCCTAGCGGACCTGCACATGTGTATACAGGCCTTTCAAGGCTTTATCAAGGCTTGCTTAAGAGCATCATCAGACCACTAGATCCGAACGTATCTAATAAACGAAAAACTTTGGTCCGACCGGTTTGACCGTTTAAAGGAAAACGTCCCTGTACCTACGCCTAATGATAAAGCGTCTAGTTGACCGAGACTAACATATACCATTCGGCAAACCTCGGCCGATTCCGGTACCTTTCATCTAACCTCGGATGTCATTCGGCAAACCTCGGCCGATTCCGGTACCTTTCATCTAACCTCGGATATCATTCGGCAAACCTCGGCCGATTCCGGTACCTTTCATCTGCCGAGGTGTGCCGAATGTAACATATACCTGAAGCTTGCGCATGCGCAATTGTAGTTGTTTACATTCCTGTCGGAGCAATACGAAAGGTTAAGTATGAACCACACTATGTTAAAATACTGTATTGTTATATATTTAAACTGCTCGAATTTAGAAGTGTTGAGAATATCTTGAATTCAATGTTGCCAGGAGTTGGTCAAATCGCTGTTAATTTCGTCTGAGTATGCTTTGATCTGATATAATAATGTTAACTAGACGGAAAACGAAAGTAAATGAAGATTCGGTAAATGTACACAAATACCACGTACGCAGCTTGACAGCTGAAAAAATCAACTGGTGTAATATATATAATATTTCGTGGTTTCAAAGAGAGAATGTGGTTACATTGACGCAGATCGCAAGATATGAGTAACACAATATAATTAGAATCAGATCCGAATTCCCGTTCCTCTACGATACTCTTACATCTGAACCCATGCATCGAATGCTTGATGCAACCTTGACTTTGTCAGCATCTCCATCAACATAATGTAAGAGCATCGTAGAGGAACGGCAATTCTGATCTGATTTTAGTTAGATTCACCTACCTATTATTCAATCAAAGCTAGCAACTATTTACAAATGAGACATAAGGAAAGTGAAATTCATCATCTTTTGGAAACATATTGTTTAAAAATAAAGTGCACACAGTTGTCGAAAATATGTCACATGAACACATTCAGTTTAGACAAAACAAAATTCATGTTTATATTAGTGACATCTTAAAACCGCAATTTTAACTCCTCCATATGTATAAACCCTTCAGAGATATTTCTTATCCTTTGATAAATTATCATCAGTGGTCTTGTCGTCCTGTCAACCAGAAATGAAAATCTGCTATCTATAAAGTTTGTCCATGTTGTCCTTGAAGCGATAAACAATTTTGTATAGCACAAACTAATGCCAATGGTGGGGTTTTTTATGTACACGGAAAAAAATATTACAATATATTTCACAACACGTGTATACCAAATCTTGCAGAAATATGGCTTCCACCAAAAAATCATACCTGTTTGTGGCAGCTATAGACTTCGGCACTACCTACTCGGGGTACGCATTCTCCAGCAAGGACGAATTCGATAACGACCCACTCAAAATCAAAAGCAATGTTTGGAACTCGGGAACGTTGATGTCCTACAAGGCTCCGACAGCACTTCTCCTTAATCCAGATAAAACCTTCAACTCATTCGGGTACGAGGCTGAGACTATGATGGCAGATGAAGGCGGTGACCTTCAGGACTATTTTTACTTCCACAGATTTAAGATGGTACTCCATAATAATAAGGTAAGTAATTGCAGTACGCATCTGTAGTAGAACCGATTTTAATATACCGTTAATCACATATTAATAGCATATAATCGGTTCTCAACCAATCAAAACAGTCTGTTCAAAAAGCTGTGTTACTGTCAAGTTTGCCAAAAGAATATCAAATGTTACAGATGAATTATGCTCACGTTATGTTTTGAAGGAAAGATAGTTTTCTATTTTAATTTATTTCACTCGACTCCTACAAATTCATATAAATATCCGATACCATATACCATGTGTGTTCAATAACAGAACCTTCAGCGTGCCACCATGATCAAAGACGAGTCCGGGAAGCCGTTTCCAGCCTTAGATGTGTTCGGACTCTCGATCGCTTTTCTGAAACGTCACTTGGTGGAAGCAATCAAGAAGCAGTTCGACGGCATAGTGGATAGTGATATCAAATACGTTCTGACTGTGCCAGCGATCTGGGACGACAACTCAAAGCAGTTTATGAGGGAAGCAGCACGCAAGGTAACGTTCTGATATAGGAAGTTTTGATTCAGATATTGATTCAGACGGAGACGGTTTGATCTGTATTCTATAACAAAGTGTACAAATCATAGCTACGCTTGTCAAGGGTACATGCAAGAAATCGTTATTGAACCATAAGTTTTTACAACCGAGGCGTGAGAGTTTCTTATGAGGGAAGCAGCACGCAAGGTAACTTTCTGATATAGGAAGTTTTGATTCAGATATTGATTCAGACGGTGACGGTTTGATCTGTAATCTAAAACAAAGTAGTTACATATTGGTTTTCGTGGACTTTCAATCACTTCATCATTATTACCCTGTATGCATTGTAAACAGTGATGTGAATGGTGACAACTTGTGATTTTTCAATCGAGGGTGGTATACGTGAGGAACATCTTATGATAGCCCTTGAGCCAGAGGCAGCTTCAATCTACTGCCAACATGTGCCAGTGGAAAAATCCACAAGCAGCTTCCTCCAGTGTGCCAGATCAGGTCTAGCCTACATGGTTGTTGATTTGGGCGGTAAGTGGGTTTCATCCTGCGTGAATTCACTTTCTTGTTAAAATTCACTAAATGTACTCTTTAATCATCATTGGTACAGAGAAAGACCCAACATTTTAAGCTTCGGCCTTATTCTGTTAGTTAGCAAAATCTTAAAAAAACATGTTCTGTTTTTTTCTTAATTCGAAGTCACGTTTAGTTGCTTTGGCTTAATGCAGCACTAAAGTATTTCTGTACTTTAAACGTCAACAGTTTTCATATGTACGGAGATTTTTGTGATGAAAATACATATGTAAGGCCAGCTTTATTATTATTACATCAAAATCCGAGAACAAAACATCGCTACGCTTGTCAATGATACATGTAAGACATCCTTGTTGAACCATAAGTTTTCACAACCGAGGCTTGAGAGTTTCTAGAAATATTAATATGGTGATTTCATGTATAATACGTCAGTATTCAGAAATCATAGAGTTAACCTTGGGTTTGATTTGTTCAAGGTGGTACCGCAGACATCACAGTACATCAACGTCAACCCGATAAGACGCTAAAGGAACTGCACGCGGCCACAGGAGGGGCTTTCGGCGGAAAATCCGTTGATGACGCATTCGGAGCATTTCTAGAGGAAATAGTAGGAGCAGAAAATATTCAAGCGATGAAAGAAAAGCATATGGATGATTATGTTCACCTTTTGCGAGAATTCGAAATGAAGAAACGGAAGATCACTGAAGAGACTCCTGCCAAAGTGACGATGACCATACCTTTCGCGCTCGTGGAACTTCTTCAAGAAGATAAAATGAGAAAAAGCATTGACGATGCTGTGAAGAAATCAAGATTTTCCTCAACTGTCACAAGTGGTCGACAGAAAATACAAATAATGAACGCAGAATTTAGAAAGTTTTTTAGGCCAACGATTGACGGTATCATCAGTCATATGGAGGAAATACTATACGACCGGAGGTTCATGGATGTGAAATATATTTTGATGGTTGGTGGATTTTCAGATTGTATACTTGTGCAGAACGCCATTCGCCACAGGTTCACAGAAAAAGTCGTCATAGTCCCAGATGATGCAGGATTGGCCGTTTTGAAGGGAGCCGTTCTGTTCGGACACGTACCCCGATCCATCAGCAGCAGGGTGGCACGGTTTACGTACGGTATCCAGAGCTGGCCTGTGTTTGAACCACGTAGGCATCCAGCTGACAAGAAGATCATGATCAATGGCGTAGCTCGGTGTAGAGATGGTTTCTTCAAGTACATCGAAATAGGTCAACAGGTTACACGGGGACATTCGGAGTCGCAGGTGTTCCAGGCTCTGAAGCCAGACGAAGAGTGCTTAGAATGTTCCGTGTATGTGTCCTCAAAACGGGACCCCGACTTTGTAGACGAAGAAGGATGCCGACCCCTAGGCGTTCTCAAAGTACCACTGGACTCCAACAGGCGGGGACCAGCCGAGGTTGAGGAGACACTTGTATTTGGGGAGACTGAACTGCACGTTCGAGCAAGGGATATATCAACTGGGAAAATGTACGAAGCCAGCTTTGATTTTTTGTAAGTATAAGCTGAACTGATACAACTTATATTATACATCATCGTTTCAAATGTAGAAACTTTTGGTCAAAGGAAAAAAATGGTTATTTTGAAATATCGAAATTGAAATTAAAGCGTAGGAAAGTTTAGGTATCAAGGACTGTCGTTCTAATAACAGATTAATTTGACTACTTTTTATAGGGATTACATGCATATCAGTCTTATACTGTATGTACTGTATGTCTTTTTTAACTAAAAAATAAAGTTGTCTATTGAAAAATGATTATTTCTAATAATACTGTAATCAGCCATCAATCAATAATATAATAAGCTATCAAGTATTAACTCGAAATCAACATGATGACTTTTCTCTTTTACCCTCTTTCGCTTTTTAACTGACATGCATTTGTCGGATTGGCCTCATAATTGACCTACATAATCTTACTGTAACCGATATGCCCTTAGATCATAAACAAGCAAAACGTCTTAACAAAAAAACATTTGTTTTGTCTTCGTTGTAGGGGCGATGGTATTTAGGGTGTACAGTGGAACTGGAGTAGAACTATAGTGCACTGTCAGAGGGTACCCAGAAGATGACACCAAAGAGATACTTCAGACTACAGCAGAAGTCTAGCTACTTATATAGACACCGCTTGGAGGATTCATGAGACTGGTCAGGTCCAGTGCAACTACGCGGGCTGCTTAACAGATACCAATGTATACAGAACACTCAAAACTAAGACATCACGTGATACCACATAGGGTACGCCCACATCGGAACAAACGTGATTCAACACTGCCTGACACCATCAGATTTATCTGAGGAATGTCAAAGTCTTAAACTGAAGTTGATGTACAAAACTAAAGTTATTGTGGTCAATAATAATTTGGTAAATTGCATTTTATATTTAAATCCGAGATGTAATTTGAAAGTTGATATAACAAGGTCGTTAAAGTCACATACTTGTAATGTATATTCTTTGGGTTTGTTTGTTCCGTAGCATTTATCTGCAGACAGTGAAGTCCAGCGAAAGGACATTTTTAATAAACATCAAGGTTATATTTTTTCAGAGAGTGAAAACTATAATTACACTGTACCTGTCGCAGGTAATACGTTATACTTTTGAAGCATTACAGAACAGTTTTTATAAGAACGGCCATTCTTTTTTTGAAGCCAGAAATATTTTCCGCGGAGACAATTACCAACTGAATATGGTTTCGATTGTTTAAAACGTACAGTGTAAGCTTTATACTGTTGAGTGGTGTCTGACATGCTTAATTACTAAAGACGACAATGCTATATATTTCCGCAATACTTATTAAACATTAAAGTAATTGAATTATCATGCATGTAATAAAACAAAAAATAAATATCACCTTAAAACTGTATTTAAGGTTTGAAATGTAATGTATAAACGAAACTGTGTTTCATACCATCCTAAATGTGAACGAGAAAGCTACCAGTTATTTAACTTTTGTTCTTTCCCGTTCATATTCACGACCTGCCTGAGAGCAGACTATTTTCTCCTCTACAGAAAGGTACGGACTCTGGGATCCTTTAAAAGGACCTTAACAACCTGTAGCAGTGGAGGAAAAGATTTGTTATATCTGATGCAATTCAATCCTGACAGATGTCAGTAGCCCGAGTTTCATCTGGTCCTAACACCAGACTTAGACATTTTGACATGTAGTACACCAGCCATCTATATGTCAAAATGTCTAAGTCTGGTGTTAGGGCCAGGGGAAACTCGGGCTAAAATGTGAGATACTATGCGTCACCAACAGAAGGAAGCTAACAGTGTCCACCTACAGCATCCATTGGACCCCATTTGTCGCAATTACGACAGATGAGAACATGGGGATAAACAACCTCAGCTGGTCCAATCACATAGGGACATTATCAAAGAAGCAGTGCTCTAGATCACTGGCCGTTCATGAATATGTGAGCGTCCTATTGTATCAAAATAGACCAAAGCACATCAAACTTAATAAGATGGTGCAGAGAAGGGCGGCACGCTACGTCAATGGAGATTACAGAACAACTAGCGGTGTAACATCAGCCAATATCATAACATAACATTCATCATCACACAGCGTATATCATAACATAGACATCCATCATCACACAGCCTATATCATACCATAGACATCCATCATCACACAGCCTATATCATAACATACAGTAAGACATCCATCATCACACAGCCTATAGCATAACATAGACATCCATCATCATACAGCCTATATCATACAATAATGTACCATAGACATCCATCATCACACAGCCTATATCATAACATACAGTAAGACATCCACCATCACACAGCCTATAGCATAACATAATATATCTATCATTACACAGCCTATAGCATAACATAGACATCCATCATCACACAGCCTATATCATAACATACAGTAAGACATCCACCATCACACAGCCTATAGCATAATATATACATCCACCATCACAGCCTATATCATAATATAGACATCCACCATCACAGCCTATATCATAACAGGCGCGTAGCTACCATGTAAGCCAATAAGCCCGGGCTTGTACATGATTTTGACAAGTATAGGTTTTCATGACATTATTTTTTCTTGCTGATACCATTGCATTAACTAAACAGCTCGATTGAGTAAATTGAGAAACTCACGCCTGGCGCAAACGACTCCGAGTATGGCACAGTGGACACAGACAATCAATGTGGTTTTTTTAAGAAAATATCAATTTGGGGCACGTTCGGCCCCTTTTGCCGGGGCACATTCGGCAACCCCGAATGCAACTGTTATTGTGCCAAGTGACGTCACTATTGATAACGTCACCCAATTGACCACAAAAATAATATTTTTACGTCCCAAAAAATAAGTATTTTTTTCTTTGTATTCACTGATTTGTTCTGGACTTATTTTCCAACAGAATTGAATGAAATTCCATACCCTTATTAGTAAATTGTCTTCTCTATCCTTCATGCCATACTTGCCCTGGTAGGGGCCGGATTTACCTCAGGGCGGGGCTCGTTCGGCCCCCAACTCTCTCGACCTAAAAAGTCCAATAGTTCCCAAAATATAGTCTTGTTTACGATTTGGTTATTAGTTTATGAAAGACAATACATTTCTTTTCTAAATGACATATATAAATATGCATTTCAGCAGTATAGTACATGCCTTCCATAACGTCTTGAACAAAGAAAAGGGGCCGTGTTTGCCCCGGTCCCCCCTACACATGTATTATACATGTGTAGGGGAGATCGGGGCAAGTCCGGCCCCTGTTTTGAAACTATGTTATAAATTACAACATATCATTATCTCAGACATCAGGACGTGGGAAATGGCTCCTGAGACGTTCTAGAAAACAAAATTTTCATGGG